AGATGTAGTGGAGAGGTAGAAAGTGGTTTGAAAAGAAAATACTCGTAAATACTACAAGTACAAATACCTCTAATTTACTTAAGTACAGTACCGTACTGAGTACAGTAAATGCACTTAGTTACTGTCCACCACTAGTTTAGTGGTGTGGAGGCCAGAGATCTTCTCTTTTTGGAATAATAAGTGTGACAACATGGTTAAATATGTTTTTACATACCGTTAAAGGAAAGTGAAAGTATTTCTGCCTGCTTGTAAAAAGGGCAATGCAGGCTGCTTTCCAACATGGCCACCAGTGGTATAGTGCGCACTTACTGGAATTGAGTTACAATCACAAACTTAAACTGAATTGTTTGCATCTCTCCAGCTCATTAATGTTTGGCACAGGCGCACCGGCTAAACCTCTCCTGAGTAACCGTGCACACACAGCTTGGATGACAGCTAATTTTGGTTAATATAGCAAAATGCAGAGTAGATAACAGATTAGTTTAATAATGAAGGTATGAATAGCAAATGTAGCAATAACTGGCCCAAAAATTACTCAACTCTACTCTACCTTCTACTACCCACCAAGTACTTTTGGTGCCTAAACCTAATCAAACTGCAGCCGCTTCACAGCATCATACTGGCGATTAACTTCCCATTTGGGTCACAGACACTGATAGGTCACATATTTTGGTGTCTCCACTGGTGGTAGTAGAAGCAGCAGCAGCAGCACTAAAAGAAAAGTCTGTAGAGTGTGTAAGTCTAAATCCCGTTTCATATTCTCCTGTAGTGGGCAAACTAAACAAAAGTTAATCAGGCGCACAAAAGGTAAGTTGTTTAAATTGGCAAAATCTGATGGAGAAGGAACTAGAAAAAGAAAAGGGACCCTAAGGTCTATGGCTCATTGTGGGTTTAGGGGTTTAACAGGAGGCTGACGTTGCATCTCCTCACACAGCGTCCCGTAGTCTACACGCCATAGCTGGATCCTTCTTGATAGAACCTGGGACAGTGATAGGCGGCTATTCATTGTGACTGGCGCTGCTCCACAAGCGGAGTTGGGGTCGCTTCCCACGACAAACAGGACCAAATTGCAAATCAGTCAGTGTTGTATTAAAACAGTTTCAATAACGCAAAGCTATACAGTGAAACTGCAGCACAGAACTTCCTCACATGTAGCACGGCGGCTACATTCACAAAGCACAACGCTCAGAGCGACAGCTTCATGAGAGGCTGGAGACCGTGTACAACTTTGGATATGCATGTGTGTACGCTGCATTCGTCTTGTTGTACGCTCAGAGGTCTCTGTTATGACAGAGTTATGTCAGAGGCAAAACACGAAGGGAAGCATTCCCGAGACTCCAGGTGGACAAATAACCTGCCCAATATTCAAGACAAGTGAAGGAAGAAAAAACACATGGGTCTACCTAATGAAGTGGACCATAGATGATCTTGAAGACATTTTGTCCTCCTACCTTTGACCCTCAGAAATGAATTCCTGGCTACGGCCCTGATATACTGTACCGAGGTGATCTGGGATTGCACCTCCATCAATTTACCCAACACTGCATATAAGTGCAAATTAAGCAGTCTAATATGTAATGTTTGTATTTATATTGCCAGTACAAGTTAGGAAAACTACTTTAAAGCAGTGAGAACCAAAAATTCAGATTATGATTACAGTCAATAGGCTGCATGTACACCATACAGTAAATGTAAACAAGTGTCGAGACCACTGTCTTATTTCAAATACAATATTATTTGCTTTAAAAATTCACTTGGAAATAGGGCACTCGTACGCTATTTATACAGTATAGTATTCTTTACAGCTGTAAATAAGAATCATCAGGCTATCAGAAGTTACAGGATGACATACTCACGATTTTCTTGTGCGTTTTGGCCTTGTGTGCTCTGGCAGAACAGTGAGACCAGTAATAACCATGTGATCATTATTATCCTCCTTTTGCGGTCAGTTGTTGTTATTCCGTTCAAGGTAAGGTAAACTTGTTGGCAAGTCTTCATGGATTTATCACTTTCATCATAGAAGCAAATTGTCCGGTGATGACACTTGATTCAAAAGCTTACATTAGGAAGTCTGACTGGTTGTTACGGATCTTACGCAGGGAATTAATGGAACTGGAAGGCTACATGAGCGAAGAATCAAAGAGAAAAAAAGTCACAGTGTCAAGTTACTCCCAGAAGCAACACTCCCCTCCAAAGAAGCCAGTGATGCATGCTTGGAAAATCCATTTGCTGTTAGAACTTACAGTGATTGTGAAATCCATGTGGACTTCGACGCAGGAAAAGGAGAGGCTGCTTTCTGGTAACCATGAATCACTGTGGCCAGATCAGACATGCCTCGTAACTTGTACTCTTGTTGCTTGGAAAAACTAGTTTTAGTATCTCAGCGTGTTGGCCCTTCATCAAGACTACATTTTATTTATTATGACTAATTCTCATGGGTTACAGTGGCAGCTGTACTGTAGAGAGAAATCAGGATTCTGCACAACCTCAAATCCTTAGGAATGCAGACAAAGGGCTGACTAGAATGCAACAACTTCTAAATTTGTCCCCCTCTCTTTAATTGTACTAATAATACCTACATGACTCATGTCTGTGTTATCATCCTTCTGTTTTCCATCCAGACTGTGCTTTACATAAGCCAAACACGTGTAAGAAACAAGCTCATAATCTTTAATAGAGACTTAAAGTATATAGTTATAGTACATAGTCAGAACTTCTTATTTTGAGAGTGAGATTTCCACCAGTTCACATATACCTCAAAATAATCCTGTCAGTGGGCAGTTTACCAGAGGAAAGTGAAAAAGGGAAAAGAAGCTGTGGCCACCGAGTTACAGAAGTGCAACAGGAAGATTACATATAAAAGGAAACGTCTCAGCAGGAGGCGCAGAACAGGATTTCATTAGTAATGGACAGTAACATTTCACAACAGAAAGTATAATTCCTCTTCTGTAACGGGCTATACAGAAATCTATTTAAATACACAGGATGTTTCTGCATAGTAGTCAAATCTCATCACATCACTAATAATACAGCATACATTCAAAGACTGCCACTGTTCAATCAAAAACACTCATCACACCAAAAATGGAATCAAGCATACCAGACAGCAATGACAACACTCAAAGCTATGGAGGCCCAAAGTGGCCAATATTAAATAAATAAATGAACGAATGAAGACATTATGAAATAAATGATTATGTGAATTAATCCAGACAAAACATGGTCAGGTCATTGTCAGGTGATAACATTTAAAATTCTATTTCATTCTTCTTCTTTAACATTTCAGGTAGTCTTTTGTTTAATTAGCTTACAGCAGTTTTTATTTCAAATTGTCAAAAAAAAAAAAGCATTTCTGCTACTTGAGACAAACAGGGTGAAACAGCTATGTGATTGCAGTGGTGTAATGTACCAAAGTATATTTACTTGTACTTCACTACACCTCAGAGACAAATGTTGTATTTTGTAAATCTTTCATCCCCTTTCCTCTCCAATAAAAAACATGTATCTTGGAGATTTTAATTTTGTTTGTTAAAAAAACTGAAAGATGAAGCTTCATGGGTTGAAAAAACTTTTTAAACCCCCTTTGAATCACTTGGAAAATGCATTGTCACAAAGCTGAAAACAGGGCAGATACATGGTTCTCACAGCACAGCCACGCTAAACATATAATGATCCTATAGAATATGATGCATTGCTGTAGATTAAACTAGCCAATAGTATAAAAAGGAGTTAAAACGTCTACAGTCGTAAAATGAGAGACACACATTAATCCATCAGTGCCAGTTGGCTTGAGTTCAGGGTGAGTCAGTTTTCAGCTGCCAGATGCAGAAGTGAAAGGGTGAATCAGGTGTCTCAGTGCTGCGCTGAGGTCTTCTGTTGTGACATGGACAGGATGCGCTCCGTCTTGCCCGAGAAACCACCACATGTGGGTATGTTTACAAAAGTGCACTTATTTCAAAGTAGAGTGCATACTTTGCTTCAGTACCAGTAAAAGCCAAAGTGACTAATCTGTTGTGTCAGCTGTTTAGAAACTCATTTCATTAACCACCTCCCACCCACTGAACATTCAACAAAAATGAGTTGGTGGTGGTGCTACCCTAAAACTTAAAAAAAACAACAACTTTCATTTGGAAGGAAGTACTGAACAACAAACCATCACACCGCTTGGCACTTTGCAAAAAAGACAATATGACAGTAACTCAAACATGACATACTCTGATAAAATCAACAAAGATCCTGTTTGTAGGTTTTGATTCTGACTCTTGCAGTACCACAGAGCCCACTGGATATCATATGGTAGAAATTTTAAATATGTGGAAATTAGAGCGCACAGATGAATAAACTAATGCCATAAACAGGGTGGAGCAATACCAGTCTAGCAATCTGTGCACATGGACTAAGTGTGAGGTTAAGAAACAAAATTAAAAACGCTCAGTAAAGATGGAAACAATAATACTTCTGATACGGCCCTTTAGAATAAACACATTACCCTATGGACGCCTGGTCAAGACCCTTCAAGTGTCGCTTTTCACCCTGGGTACCCCTTTAGTGTCAATTTTTCAATAATAAATATGCAACATCTGGATGGACTTTCAAAATAAAACACTTTGTTGACGTGAGATGGTCGCAGATTGGTTAGGTTTAAGGAAAAAAAAACACACTTGGTTATGTTTAGGAAAACATTATGGGGATGGAGATGGTGCAGTGGATAACACATTAAGAAACATGCCTTTGGTGTGAGAGACCTGGGTTCAATTCCCCACTGTGACACATCTACCAATATGTCCCTGAGCGTCCCTAGTTGCTCCAGAGGCGTGCGACCTCTGACATAAATAGCAATTGTAAGTCGCTTTGGATAAAAGCATCAACTAAATGTAATCATGGTTTGGGTTCAAATAAGTAATGTTACTTACGTAAGTAAAAAAACAAATCAACGTTGACTATTTTCTTCACACAGGAAACAAACATCAGACTCCAGGGTAAAAATCCCATCAACAAGATCATTTCTCAGGATTACCGTAAAATTTATTATCCAAAACAGGGAAATTTGTGTGGTAAAGTACAGTAACAGTCTGTTAATGATGTTTCATTCTCATTTATTAATTTAATATGCCTGTGCATTAAACCTCCCAGTCATTACACAGCAGGTATCACAGAATCATTTAAAGTGCATGATGTTGATCAATAATCACCTGGTAATACTGATTCAGACTACCATTTGGAACATGGTAGTCTTGCACACGGTGTGGGGTCCAGTCATCTAAATGTCACTAATGCCCTTTGCTGAGACTAGCCCTGCAGCGCCCACTTGATTTAACCCTCCTTGGATAAAAGAGCTTCACAGTTTGGCTCTTGGGCTTTGTTCCAGCAGTGTCCTCATGTCCAACAGTGCGTTCTCCACGGCCTGGGCCAGATGTGCTGTATTCGTTTGTTCACAGGTGTTGAAAGACGACACTGCAAAGTTTATGTGATCATCCATGGGATTGTAGCACACGCCGTATCCGTCTGGGACAACGGGGCCAAAACACATGACGCAGTCAGTCTTGGAAGGCACCTTGTAAAGAAATGAGAATGTAGTGGTTAGTTAACAGTTTTGTTTACTATCAACTGCTACTTTTTTGGACTACTGATATAGATGTTTTGTCACTAAGCAAGTATTTCTTTACTGCGCAGGGCTTGACAATAACAGTGGCCAGATGGCCCGGGGCCAGTAAAAAGTAACGTCGGGACAGCCACTAGTAACTCAAAAACATTAGTATTTAAAAAAAATAATAATTACAATCATGCAAATGTTTTGCAGCTCTTGGCACACCCAATCCAGATATGTAGTGACGTGATGAGTGGTTACCAAATCTCTCTAATCTCAAGCGGCAACCTCTGGGTCTGAAAGTGAAACCATGCAGACAGAACTTAAAGCTGCAAGTCCGCTGGTTGCAAAAAGAAGTCCAGTTTCATTAGAAATAATTGTAAAATTTTGCTACTTCTGAATTATTGCCTCAGTAAACCCTTTCCCCCAGGTCGCTACCATGGCAACCTGTCAATCAGGATAGAGGCGACTGTGTAAATGTCTTTATGAAGTGGCAGTCAGCCGGAGAGCACGTCATGTTTGAGTCTGTTAGTATGTTTTGTTTTAAAAGTTGAAATTGATTTGGTAACCTTTTTTAGTTTTAGTAATTTTAACTGTGATTATATTTTAGTTTTTTATATGCAGGATGTATTTAATAAGCGATTAAACATGTTAACAGTATAACATAACTTATAAGTCTTTGGTTTTGTTGTAACACTAGTAAATAACTTTTGGTAGGAGGGTAAGTAAGTTTCAAACCGACTGGCCAAGTGCGGCCAGTTGCACAAAAAGTTTAACGTTGAGCCCTGCTGTGATATATTTGTTTTCTTTCAACCCCTGCCCGTACCTGACTTGTAGATAGCTGGAAGTGTAAGGCTTTGGCGTAGGCTGTGTCTGTGAAGAGATCAGGTATGGAGATTTTTTCTGTTCCCGCCTGCATCTTGAGGCCCAGGAGGTGTCGGTCTATGGCCTGGCCACTGATTGCCTGTGGGGATGGAGAGAATTCATATCGTTAGTCACACCAGATGTTAACTATTTTAAAATAAAGACTTGCAATATTCTATATTGTTCTTGTGCGACTATAAAAGGAAGGTATCCCTGTCTGTCCTTCACATATCTCGAGAACCGTTCATCTGATGGACTTGAGAAGGACCCATATTAACTGTTACACCACCAAACGGCATGCTGGGTACAGCTCGCTTTCACATGCTAAAGTACATTCAACAAGAGATGAAGAAAGAGAGACCAGAGATGTTACACTGAAGTAAAGTCTTGTTTGCCTTTTTGTTTTGCTAAACTCGTAAATTTCAGAGCTGTAATTTACAGTAGGTTCATTCCTGAAGTCGCCATCTTAAAGTGATGTTCTGACCGGTTCAAACAGTGGAAATGCCAAACTTGTGTGCTGCTTTTGGATGTTCTAACTAAACAAATGCCAAAACCGAGCGAGCTCAAACAACTGGGTGTGTGTCCAATCCACCGAAACAAACCTTTTGTCTTCGTAATCCGGAGGGCGATCAAAAGCCCATAACAGAAAGTACTTGTACTCCTGTTGCACTCTCAAACACAGGAAAGCACTGTTGGGCAAGGAAGAGGTTGCAGCAGTGAGGTAATACATTACTCTTTTTTGTTACTCTTGATGTGCTACCACCTTGCACTTTACGGAGCATTCCACTAGAATCTTAAGGCCGGCTGAGCGAGCTCAAACAACTGGGTGTGTGTCCCACCCACTGAAACCAACCTTTTGTCTTGGTAATCCAGAGTATGCAATTAGACTCACACTACATCACTGAAACCCATTACTGAAGCGTCAGCTCCTTGTGTGAAGACCTACTTGGGTAAAGACCAGCGAGTCTTCCTGTGCAAGTCCACCAGGCAAGGCCACCTACAAGAGCAGCGTCTTTCCTTTTCTTAAGCACTTCTACTCACCTAAAGCTGCCGGCTACAACTACACTCAGGCCATGTGCTACCATACTATTCCTCTTGTCTCCAGTGCACGCAAGAGGTATCGTGCCATTAGGCACAGAAATAAGGCACTCCTCAAGCCTTTACAACAGACACCGCCCACATCTGTTTACTTCTCTGTTGGATCATGGAACTGCCAGTCTGCAGTTAACAAAGCTGACTTTATCACTACTTATGCGAACGCATTATCTCTTGGGCTACTGGCGCTCACTGAGACCTGGATCAAACCAGAAAACACCACTACCCCTGCTGCGTTGTCCAACAATTACTCTTTCACCCACACCCCCCGTCCGGACTGGGCTCTTAATTTCCTACCCCCTGCTACCCCCGAATCAATATGCCTCCTTCGAATATCATGCCGTCTTGGTGTCCGCACCGGTAAAGGTCTCTGTGATCGTCATCTACCGTCCAACGGGACAAGTGGGTAACTTTGCGGACGAGCTAGACACACTGCTGTCTTCAATCCCAGATCATGACTGTCCCCTACTTGTCCTCGGTGACATGAATATTAACTTGGACAAATCAAACTCAACAGACTTCCTGTCTCTGATTCAGTCCTTTGATCTAACTTGGGTTCTCAGCCCCCCGACACACAAAGCTGGCAAGGTGCTTGACCTTGTTCTTGTCCGAAACTGTCCCACTGAATGCCTAACTGTCACTCCTCCACACATGTCTGACCACTTCTTCATTCAGTTCACGGTATGCCTACAGGAACAGCCCATTGTTCCAGCACCGTTGGTCTCACACCGCTGCAACCTCCGTTACCCGTCTCCCGCTCACTTTGCCTCAGTGGTAGCATCCGCTCTACCTTCCCTCAACACATTTTCCTCACTCAAGGTCAATAACGCCGCACAATCTCTTTGCTCTACACTGAGTTCGTGCCTGGATAGCCTGTGTCCTCTATCCACCAAGCCTGCCCGCCCGCCCGAACCAGTCCCACCAATGGCTAACTGATACCATCCGTGGGCTCCGTACTGATCTCAGAGCCACTGAAAGAAAATGGCGAAAAACCAAAGACCCTTCCGACCTTGAGGGCTACCAACTTCTCCTATCCTCCTTCTCAACAAGCATCAGTGCTGCCAAAACTGCATTCTATAATGACAGAATAAGCAGTGCCACTGACTCAAGGACATTATTTTCCACTTTTAAAACGCTACTAAATCCTCCTCCACCACCCACAAACTTGTCTGCTGATACCTTTGATGCCTTGTTCACAGGCAAAGTGGCGGCTATAATTAGCCAATTCTCTAAATATCTCAAAACCAATAATTCTATTCCCCCCCTGGTCAGCTCTATCTGTGTGAACCCGGTACAGGAAAACCTATCATGTAGCAGTCCTACTACATCTGTTCTTCTGCCCTCCCAGGACAAAGGCACTTCACGCTCCTCATTTACTCCTCTCACGGAGAACGAAGTATAAGAACTCCTGACCCATTGCCGTCCCACTACATGCCCACTGGACCCGATTCCTACGAATCTCCTCCAAGCCATATCTCCTACTGTGGTCCTGGCAATCATTCATGTGATTAATACTTCTCTGGCTTCAGGAACCTTCCCGACCACCTTCAAAAGGGCTTGGGTTACACCCTTGCTTATAAAGCCCTCACTTGACCCAAGTCACGTTGAGAACTATCGGCTAGTTTCTCTTCTACCATTTTTATCCGAAACTATCGAACGGGCAGTCTTCAAACAGGTCTCAGAAGTCCTCTCACGGAATGACCTCCCAGATCCATATCAGTCTGGTTTTAAGAGTGGCCACACTGAAATGGCTCTTTTATCTGTAACAGAAGCCCTAAGGTCAGCTAACGCTGCAGCCCAATCCTCGGTTCTTATCCTGCTTGACCTATCGGCTGCCTTTGACACAGTCAATCACAGGATCCTCCTATCTGCACACTCAGCAATGGGCATCTCAGGTAAAGCACTCCTGTGGTTCGAATCCTATCTCTTGGAGGCGTTCCTACAATGTCTTGTGGCAAGGACAATTATCCTCCTCCCACTGCCTCTCCACAGGGGTACCCCAAGGCTCAGTGCTAGGGCCCCTTCTCATCTCAATTTACACAACCTCACTGGGGCGAAACATTCACTCGCACGGCCTCTCTTACCACTACTACGCAGACGATACGCAACTCTACCTATTCTTCCCGCCAGACGACCCCACAGTCTCGGCGCGGATCACAGACTGTCTCTTGGACATATCTGTATGGATGAAGGCTTCCCACCTTCAACTAAACCTCTCTAAGTCTGAACTCTTGGTCATTCCAGCTACGCAATCTATCCACCATAACATCAAACTACAAATTAGCTCCTCAACCATCAGTCCAACCAGGGTGGTGAGAAACTTGGTTGTCATGATAGATGACCAGCTGTCCTTTTCAGACCATGTTGCTGCCATCTCTCGTTCGTGCTGCTTTGCTCTATACAACATCAGAAAAATCAGGCCCTACCTCACTCAATATGCCACCCAGCTTCTGCTACAGGCCATGGTTACCTCGACTACTGCAATGCCCTTCCAGCTTGTCTGGTGAAACCCCTACAAATGGTTCAGAACGCAGCAGCGCGTCTGGTTTTTGATCAGCCCAAAAGGACGCATGTCACACCATTGCTGTGTGACCTCCAATGGCTACCCGTGGCCTCCATAATCAGGTTCAAGTCACTAATGCTTGCATACAGAGTGACTACTAGGTCTGCACCCATCTACCTAAACTCCATCATACAAGTTTATTTTACTTCTCGGCCACTATGCTCCTCCAACGAATGCCGCCTGGCTCTGCCATCAATTCATACAAAGCAATCCCAGTCCCGGCTGTTCGCATCTGTGACACCACGATGGTGGAACAAGCTACCACACGCCATTAGTGCAGGGGCGTCCCTCTCTAACTTCAAGAAGCTCTTGAAAACTCATCTCTTCCGAGAACACTTCCATTTATAAACACCTCTACCTCTAACATCTAACATGCACTTCTTCTTCTATCCCCTACAATTACCTTGTATTGATTAGACTTTTTGTTAACTCTAACTTCTTTCCCTAGGTATTAAACCCACTGATGCGATAGGTGCCATTAGCGCTCATTTATTGCTGCTTTTAGTAATGTGTATTGTCAGTTGTAGATCTTGTGCTGTATTTTATGCTCTGTTGATGATTGTATGTTGTTCCTCAAATGTAAGTCGCTTAGGATAAAAGCTCTTGACTGAAACGGGCACATGCTTCGATTGTCCACACCCCAAATGGGAAATGTACTACTTCCAAATAACTAGCAACAGCAACACTATAGTTTATAGCAAACTTAAGCAGTGACCTTGCAGCAAGTATTTCCAACCACCAATGACTAGCCTATGTGTGTATAAAGATAAACAACCTATCCTTACTGCAGGTTTATGTGATGTTTCTCCGTGTTTAGTTATTCCATACAGCCATAAAGCCTGCACAGTGTCCTTCACATTTTGTTTTACTTCCTAGTTGATACATTCATTGTTGGTTTGAGCCTGCATATGGAATTAGTTGACATAAAAAAAATTTAGAATATCACGAGACCAGTCCTTAACTCTCTGCCACTCACCATATTAGTATATGACCTGTGTGCTTTTACAGCTTTCTCCATTAGATCAACCTTCTCTGTGTTCTGTGAAAAACAGGAAGAAGACAGAACTGTTATGACACTCATGTAGGTTATTGTTTAACAGTCTACAAATCTATTTGAAAAGTTGACTTGAAACTGAAAACTAAAAGTGAAAATCCTCAACATTAGAATAATTAATAGTACTTATTATCATCACTGTGTTTGGCTCTAGCTCTGTATCTGTCATACGGACAAAGGTTCAGCGGTCATGTGCTCTTGTACAGCCATAAGTTCTCTTTTAACTTTGACTTTTATTTCACTTTGTGATTAATTGATACGGCCCAGTATCACCATGTCAGAGTCAAAACTGTTGTAAATACAGACCTGTTTGCTGGGATCGTCAAAGGCCCTGACAAAGGCAGCTGAGGCCACCGAGGCTGATCGGATTGTATCTGTACGGCCCAGTCTGAACATCCGCAGGGAGGCACTTTCATACGTGGCACAGCAGCGCTGGTACATCCTGCAGAGATGAGAAGACAGACAGCGTGAGAAAACTCTGTAACACACTTGGTGTTCTAACATTAAGACTCATCAGAGCCTTTATGTATAAAGCCGCTCTGACAAAAATATTGTCTGAAGTGTGTAAAGATTTGATCATTTATGAAATGTTATCTCTTATTCTTAGAATAATAATCTAGCACCTTTCATACATAAAATGCAGCTCAAAGTGCTTTACATCATGAACACTTAAACAAGTACAAAAGAAGTACATAAATAAATCAAATATGTACATGTTACTGTATTGCATAAGGGCTACAGAATGAAATAAATACAATATGTGGGATCACTTAAAAGCAAAAGCATAAAAGTAGGTCTTGAGCTGCTTCTTAAAAGAGGTTGGTTCTCTTATTTGTAATGGGAGTTTGTTCCAAGCCATTGGTGCATAATAACAGAAAGCTGCTTCACCAAACGTTTTACTTTTCATTCTTGGGACATTAAGTAGACCAGCATCAGAGGACCAGAGAGTGCGAGTTGGAACATAATTCGATGAAAGGTCAGATGGCTAAGGTGCTAAACCATGAAGTGTTTTAAAAAAACACGTAAAAGAACTTTAAAATCAATTCTAAATGCTACAGGAAGCCAGTGGAGAGAAGCTAAAACTGGAGTGATGTGTTCTCTCATTCCGGTTTTAGTTAAAACTCTTGTTCTTATTCTCTTATCTCTTATAGCTCTTATTCTTAGAAGTAAGAAAATGCCATGCGTAAACTGCTTTAAGTGTGCAGACTTGGTCTCAGCTACCAAATGTTTTCAGAGGTCTCCTCAGTCAGTTTGGAGTGAGCAGCAGACATCACCGTTACACCACAGAGACAGACAGGGCAGAGCACAAACTTCTGGACCCTATGGGCCCCCCCGCATTCATGGCTCTTTCTGGTATCTTTGTGGGCCCTCCTCACGACGGCCCATTCTCAGTCCCCTTTCCATTCTTGCGCTGGTGATTTCAGCGTCCTGACTGGGTGAATCACTTTCATCTCAGTTAACGGACGTGAGAACATCTGTTGCAGCTTAACTGTATGATCAAGGTTTTTTACATGAAGCGCTCTGCTTAGCCTTGGCTTAGGATGTAAAGAGTTAAAAACCTGCAAGCAAAGTTCATTTCCACACAATTTTTCAGCATCTCACCTGTAGTAAGCCAGCTGTAGTGATATCTGTATGAAAGCATCCGGGCTCATCTTGTGGGCCTTTGGAACACTTTTCCCAAAGTGGCCAAATACCATGACCCTCATATCCAGGTCTTGGGCCAGTCTGCAGTGGGAGAAATGTCAGGACTGTGATATTGTAGCTCTATGCCCAAAGACATGAAGTATAAATATGTATACTTATTGTACAGGTCACTGAGTGTTGTAAAATCTGCCCGCACATGTTCATGTTGTGCTTGGCTTCCTCAATGTCCTTCTTGATCTCAGGTGTGATGTTGAAGTGGAGTTTCTGGGGCATGGGCAAAGGCACCGTGGGAGACTGCGTCATCTCCGGCTTCCTCCTGTTATCACAAACAAGAAGGAAAAGGAATGATACACGTTATATTAAAAGAAGAAAAACCTAAATAGACACCTACAGAGCCTAAATAATCTTCGACCTACTCACGTGTATGCGACGACATGGTCGATCAAGGCCACTATTGGTGGGCCCTCGGCTGGGGCGTGCTCGTAGTTCGCACCACATGACCCGTCCTCTCCAACGATAAACTGAAAGAAAGATCCGAAACTTTAAGAGAACAAAACATAAAACACGGTAACTTCGGCCAGATATATTCAAACCTCTTTCACCAAAGAGGCTTGTTGTTTTTTAAACAATAAGCCTGAACTACAGAAATAAGCCTGGTTTAACAGCAAAGCCAATAAGTAAAAGCAACATTAGAAAACAAGAGAAACACGCATTTTAAAAAAATGCAACCAAGGCTCTGGCAGGACGAGCATTATGCCCTTATCAGGACTAACTGTGGGAAACATTAGTTGAACCATTACTAATAACCGCACTTTAAGGAAACTGTGTGAAGTGTGTGTGTGAAATGTGTGTGTAGTGATGTATTACTCATGTTGTGGGGACATAAATGTGGGTAAAATCTGTCCACATAATATAAATCATTACATTGAGTACATTGATACACTAAATGATTAGCAAAACAAGAAGGCTGTCAAATTTATAGTTTATATCTCCAGCCTAAATAAATTTATTCTTAACAGTTTTATTGGGTTCCCTTCTATAATTGATGATCTATTTTTTGGCAAGAACAGACAAGTTGTCATACTTATTTTGGATCTCCTGGATGAAGCTCTTCACAAGACTTCTTGAATTAATTTTCGAAAAATTTACTTTTTAATATGTGCTTTCTTTTATGAAATTGCTCCAGCAGCACGATATTTTCCTCCTCTGACTAATTTGGTTTTCCGGTCTTCTTTTCTTTCCAACTTTGTAACAGGTCAAGTGCTGGTACAAACAGTCTCCATGGTAACAGTAAAATTTTACTACTGTAAATTCTCTATAAATGTAGCAAACACGCTTTTCCTTAACAAGGGAAATGTTTAAAGTGATTCTGTGCTACACCCTTAAGTAAATACCTTAGCTAAGGATAAATTAAGACTTAAGACTTTTTTTGTACAACCAGCCCCAGTAAAATTACTGGTATAAAAATCTACTCTAAGTTACAGAAAAAAGTAGCTCATTTAAAATTTACTAATTTAAACGTTACTTACTTTTTTAACCTCATAAAAGAACTTATTTATATTGGTTTAATATCTCATTTATGCCATTTCGTATTTCATTAAGGGCACAAAGCCATATGGCTCTTTGGTTTTAGTTTGTTTGACAGATACTTTCCCAAAGCAATGGCGCAAAACAACCTTAGAGACATTTTATTGTTATAATGAGAAGTTTTAAAAATGTTTTCCTGCATTATGAAACTGTGGCGCAACAGATTCGACTGGGAAAATGGGAAACACTGGACTGTAGGCTATATTACGTCATATCCCTATTGACATTCGAACAGGTGGTAATTTTAACGGGACATCATAATCGTTAGCATAATTAATAACTAGTAACCAGCAGGTTGCTAGTGCCAACCAACACAATGTCATGCACCGATGTCTTTTGGCCTAATTTAAGCTTACCAAACTTCTTTTCAACTATACCAATGCAATATCACATGCAGGGTGTGAACCACAAGGGAGCCTTAATAAGATAGGAGCTCCCCTGAAAAAATGATTTGTGAAATTTTGGGGGGTCTCTAAAATATGCCCTTCATTTCCATTTTTCCGTATCATCATGGATCCTTGATGATACTGCAGCTGGAGGCTCTAAAGCCCTGGATATACTTGGATATACTTTTAACTACGCGTCCATGTAAGCAAGATGGCTGCCACGTGTATCCTTTGGAGCGTAGGTTGTGCACGTCTCCAGAAATTAACGCTACACGTCCGCGAGATGCAGCTCAGCCCAGGAAACTGAACAAGCATTTCCTCTAGGCCTCAGGTGAAGATGCCAACGATGGTCGTTCAGACTTGGCCATGGGAGGCTGTAACGACCATGACGACTGTCGTTAACACAGCTAGGGGCACTAACGAAACAGCGGTATCGACAATCCTAGCAAACGATCCCAGAGGTTAAATAGCTGAGTTTCCCCACCAGTCAGTCAGAACTGAAGACTGACTCCAGTCTCTTGGAGGAGGGACGAAACGTCTTCTAGTTGTCCAGATGCCCTTGACCTCAACCTTCCTTGGATAACTATGACCGGGATGACTGAGAACCTCCACAGACAATGTGGGGGCAGTATGTCGATCTGGCAGGTGTTATGCCGAATTCTGAACTGCCTGCCGAGAATTGCATGCACCTCGCGGCTGGTAACACTCGTTTAAGCTGGGAAAGGAGGTGGGTGCAAATCTCAGCAGGTAGCCTACAACATCTGTCCTGCTGAATTATGCATCCATGTCTTAAGGTCCTTCTCAGACACTGTGCTGTGCTCGCAGTAATCACGACATATTTTAGCTGAACCTCAATGAATTCTACATCAACTAAGTGTAATAAAATATGAACGACTCTAAACGTTGAAAAAATATATACTTAGAATCATTTATCACAATTGATGAACCCCACGAAGGATATTACAGCGTTTAAAAGCAGTATTTGGAGGTGCATGCAATTCTCGGCACAACACTGGCAGGTCACCGGCAATCTACTGTTCCACACACTAGCCCAGGTGGTGGCAGTATACAGTTGATTCGCCACCGTCATTAAACGCAAAAGAAGGTCAGCAGCAGACTTTAAAAAAGGAGATTAATGTCGGGATGTTTACAATAAAACTCCTGGAGCTAGTCCGCAATTACCGAGATTGTTGTGACGTCTCATTAAAATCACAATCCGCTCGAGTGTCGCCATGTTTGGTTTGTTTAGGATGTGCAAATTCGGTCAAGGAAGACAAACCGATGTTGGCAAAGGATGATCCGGTCCTGGTCTGCCCCCTAGTGGATTCAGGTTTAATCCTCCGGTTACATGCAAAGTACGCAGGCAAGTATGTGAACCAAGCCGTTTGCGTCGCCGACACCCGTCTACGCCTACGCATTGTTAAAAAGCAAGTATATCCAGGGCTTAAGCAGCACAGCACAAGTAACAGGTGTGATTTAAAATGTAGCGAAGTACAATACTTCAAACAAAACATACGAAGTAAAAGTAAAATTACAGATTATAAAAACTACTTAAAAAGGACAAGTACACACAAAAAAAACTATTCAATTACAGTAATGCAACTAATTGTAATTCGTTACTTTCCACCTCTGGGGTTAGAGCAGGGTAAGGGTTAGTCTCCAAAAATTGAATCCAGGTCAAGTGAAACACAGTTTCACAGTGTGTGTCACCTGCAGGGTCTTGTCAAACCAGCGGTTGCCACTGTTCCACTGGCTGCCTCCTCCATGCAGCATCTGGATGGCAGCACAGCTGCGGTACATCTCATTAGACACTCGAGGCATCGCTCCATCCAAACACAGTGTGAAGATGCTCCTTTGGATAGCTGACACAGATTCTTTGTTGGTCTTATCTGGACACATCAAGTACAAGCAAACATGATGTTATCCATGTTTCCATATTAGGGATGCACGTCATGTTTTACCCCCATTTCATTATAATTTATTTCAATTTTATTTGGAAATTTTGTTTGAATTCTACAAATGCAGTTACAACTGATGTAACCTGCTCTGAATTATACTGCAGTTAACAATGACAATCCATTCACACTTTTCAGCTACTCTGCGTCCTTTAACTCAGTGTCCACTGCCTTGTAACTGACCCTCGATGAGGTTAACGTAGGCCTTGCCCCATGAGTCGCGATGCTGGGTGGTGAGGATGCCGACAGGCTCCGTGTTGGACTGTAGTGAGGAGCTGCAGATCCTCTCCAGCTGAACACAGAGCTGATCAGCGGTCAGTGGGGTGCCATCACTGTTGTACACGTCCAACACAAAGAACTAATTCCAAGAGGAGGAGAGACAAGAAAGGCTCAGTCAGGCTTCTCACTTAAAGAAATATGTATTTTTATGTATTAAGTATTTTGTATGAAACATAAGCACACTGTAGGAAATGATCTTAAGGTGAACTCAAGTGGACCTGAGGAAATGGTCTGTATCACAAAGCAAGTTTAGTGGGTTGTCCAGCTATCTTTGGGTTTAACTCAAGTTGTATGGCATCACAAAACTGCCATGCTTTTAACTGGGATAGATCACCATGGTAACAAGGGGTGGTGGTGGGGGATCGTAACGGCATAGTATTGCAATATTTTCCGAGAGAAAGAGTCGTCCTTTGGGGACACAATTTGAAGTTGGAAAAAAGCTAATAAATTGCAGTGTATCACAATATGTTTAAAATCGCAATAACATTGTATCGTGACATAAGTACTGTGATAATATCGTATCGTGGGGCCTGTGGTGATTCCCACCCCTAATGGTAACTTGTGCTACATGGCCAACCTGCCCAGTGCCAATAACAGCTTCAGACCAGAGGATCGAATCAAAACATATGGACAGCCTGTCTCCTGACCAATCAGATCACTGGAGAAACATTACATAGCACAGACTTATCTTGTATGTTTTCCTCTCTGCTTTGGCAGCAAAAACTTGCTCTTCATGTGACAAAAGCACCTAGCGGTCACTATATCACTCAATCTACAGTAGATCACCGAACCAGTTGAAAATGCCAGACACACACGGGGAAACCCAGAGCTCAGTGCGCTTGGTTATAGCAGCGATCCTGGAGCACTAATCCCATGCCCAGTGAAGCCAGGTACCCCAAAGAGAGCCAGACTAAGTTGAACTTGCTTTGTGATGCAGGCCCCTGGTCCCGGATGAGCTCAGACACAGATGTGGGACTTGGACCAAAGCTCCTCACCTGAAAGTTGTGCACTACAGTTATATGTCTGGGGGGCCTGGAGCTTTTGGCGTGGTTCACCACTGAGTCTCTCTTCAGACCAGGGATACGGCAGGATGACAGCACTTCATAGTACTGATTCATACACAGGGGCTTCCCTCCCAGATATTCAACAGGTAGTGTCTCACTGCAAAACATACAAGCTCTGGCTTATCACCACAATATTGTGCCGTTCATGCAACGTCCCTGAAGCTACCACTTTCATAGATGTATTGGATTGCTTTCAGTAATGCAGTGCAGCCTCCATCTTTGAATTCAGTTTAGCCACGTCACCTGCATGATATAAGAAATGGTGAAGGCCTGCCGATACAGACAGCTCACAATTTCAAATGATACATGGTTGAGAGAGATTTCTCGAATTATATACGAATTATAATTATGGAGGATTCCGTGTGCATTATACACATCATTTTTTTCAACTGTTCTTCCTACATACAGATTCTTATCTACATAAACTAAAGAACAAACATGCCTATATCTGAGTGTTAGATTGGAGAGCAGCTTGGTCAGGCTGACATCCTACAGACACCTTAGTTGGTCAACAAACCCAATTCACAGCTTTTCAGAGAAAGTGATTTTATATTTGTGACCTAAGCAAAAAAACTCAGCATGACAATAATTTCAAACATGTCAAGTACAGGAATATAATTTCACTGCATCCTCTGGCATCTAATGTAAACAGCAACGCATAGTCTGAATTGTGTGTGTGTGTGTATTACAAGTTTAGTACTCACTTGTCAATCATTGTTTTAAAGTCCAAAACACCTGCTATCAGTTTGGCAGCAAACCTAAACAGAGAGGATATGAATTATTTTCATTTAAATGATGTTAACAGAATTGATCACAGCACAGCAGAGCTGCCTGAAATGAAGAAATACCGTATTTGGAGGTAATATTTATGCACTGTATTAAAATGGCATTAATATAAATTGTTATATAAATAATATTGTGAAAGAAATGAGTATTATTAGACCAACCCATTCATGTAAAGTATCTCACATTTTCACTTAAGGGTGTACTCACTTTTGTTGCCAGCGGTTTAGACATTAATGACTGTGTGATGTGTTATTTTGAGGGGACAGCAAATTTACACTGTTATACAAGCTGTACACTCACTACTTTGTAGCAAAGTGTCATTTCTTCAGTGTTGTCACATGAAAAGATATAATGAAATAATGACTAAAATGTGAGGGGTGTAAATAAAAAGTAGTAAGTAAATAAATAATAAATTAAAAAAAGTACAAATACATTGAAAAAACGGACTGCAACTGAAAGTAACATATTAAAGTTGCCATTATTGTTGCCAAACACACACTCTGTTTGTGATCACCTTATTTGTCCCTGCTTATCACTGAAGTTCATGCGGGGCAAGACCAACCCAGGACTTGAATGGACCACCACAGGCATCCGGTAATCAAGATAAGCAACCTGCACCCACCACTCTGACAACTGCACAGACACAGAAACACACAGCTACAGAGTCAATAACAGCTCAACATAATGGAAGAATAATAAAGTCCATTAAAAGGAAACAGGTCACATGTCAGTGGAGTTTGCAATTAAATTGTGAGAATGACACAAAAAGACACATCGGAACACAGCGTTCGTCCCAGCTGATGAGCTCACCCAGTTGTCAGTGTTGCGTGCTCTGTTTTCCAGGCCTCTCTGCAGTCTCTCTCCAACCCCTCCTGCTTTCTGAAACTCTTCCACCAGCTCTTTAGTGTGCTTCAGTTCGTCCACCTCCACGATGGGCTCCAGGGCGGTGATGTAGCGCTCACAGGTCTGCTGCAGAGGGGGGACAGGCAGACCGGGTAGTCCCTTCTGGTGGGTCAGGTATCTGCCAGATACCCGAGTCGCTGATACAGGTTTCACCAAGTGACAGGGTTTCACTAAGCCACAAGGTTTCGCCATTCCCACCTTTACCTGAGAGACAGAAGAGTGTACATTCAATACATGTTTGTAGTGTCATTTTGTGATAAAGGGGGTGTTATTTCCCCATTCAACTGCGAAAAATAAGTGACTTGTGCTTTATTGTTTCATCATTGTTTTTGATAGCCAGCAATTGTTGCCACATGGGTAAACCTCTAAGTGAAAGTCCCTTTTTCTTTTTGCACTACTTCCCCCTGTTTTCAAAACATTTGTATTATACTTTTATTTTACCAGGCAGATACGGCAATTAAGATCAGATACCTATTTGCAATTACAGCCTTGCAGGAGACAAGCACCACCTGTAGGGAATTGATACAGGGATTGAATAAAAAATTTTTTTAAAAAAGACAACAAACCTTAAAAAACAGGCACATACACCGGCACCACTGTGCTGCTGTGCTAACTCTGCGGGAATCAATAAAGGAACATCTTATCTTATCGTAGATAGCAGCTGTCCTTATCTCATCACCTGTACCTGAAATGACTCAAAAACTAAGAGAACTGCTCAGTATCACTCATTAATGCAGGTTGGTCACACTGTTTTAAAAAGTCTGTTAAATTACCTTTAGGGTTTTTAATGTGTTAAATAAACTGACTTGACTTATTTGTAAGATTCTCATTATTACACCAAAATCAAAAACCAACTGAGGTAAGAGTTTTTGGTAGCAGTTCAGAATATATGACCACCTTAAAAGTGACATATCGCCGCTAGAGGGCAGTCTATCCTCATTTTCAATGTGACTAAGTTACAGCTCAGAAAACTATGTAAACAAGAGACACCGAGAAGAAAACGGCATGAGTAAAATAAGTCCTTATATAAAACGTCTCAGGTAAAACAAACATAAAAATATTAATAAGATATTTTCAAAAGGTCCCCGCGTGCGACTAGAACGGTGCGATGTGTTTCCCTATATAAATTATTCTACATAATTTCACGACCAGTTATACATTTTAAGGAAGTGTCCTGTAGCATGAATTAACTATTAACCTATGAATTAACTTAGCGAGGCCGATGAAATAACAGATCTGTCCCCCAAGGAAACAACTAAGTTAGCTTAGCGTCGTAGAAACCTGAACACATTTAACGTTAACTGTTACACTTTTTCCAGGTTCCTGGACTATAACGTTATAACGTTAATGGACTTTGTAGAATAGATTGATCCATCTCATGATATATTGAAACTTTACATTAACTTCTCTTCCTCAGTATAGTCAACTATGATTCAGATGACTTACTTATCATCGTCAGACCAAATAAAAGTGAATATTACTTTCTGGGTCAAGCTTGTCCTATTAGTGCCGTCGTATTGAATCTTAGCGAAGCACGAAATCACCTTTGACCCAGTTAAGGTTAGCTATCTACCGCTACTTCAGATCATCGCCCTTTTAAATTACAAGTTAGCTAACTATGCTAACAGCTAAATTAGCAAACATTCATTCAATACCTAAGTTAGCTAATTAGCCATCTTAACTAGCAGTTAGCTGTTTTAAAATAGTGATTAATCACCATAATCCTTATGACTGTCTCACGACCGTAACAAGCAGGTCAAGGTTATTAATATATTTCAGTAACTTAAGTTGGCTTTTGGTCAGTGTAAACAAGCAAAGTCAGGTGCATTACTTACCATAGCTCTGCTGCAAATACCCCACATTCTGCTTTCAGCCTTATAAACAGTCTATGCTTTCAACGAAACGCCCACAGACAAAGGTCCGTCAGCGCTGGAAATGCAGGGTTAGCTTAGCTAGGAGTTGGATCTGCGCTTTGTCAACACCGGGCCCACACGGTAATTTAGAAGCGCATCTGAATTCACAGCCACACAGGTCAGCTGCGGAACACAAGCAGGTCAAAGTTAACGTTATCAGCTGTGGCCCGGCCGCCATGAAGGAGCAGTGGGAGTGTGACTGTATATAAAAAGGGTGTGACTTGGCGTCTACATACAGTGTTTACAATCAGATTCAATACATGAACACTGAATAATCGTGTAATATATAATCTAAATACATAACGATATCACTCTGAAAGAGAGATTAAACGGGAGGCAATCTGCATAATCAAGTCTTAACGTTTATACTTATAATACTTTTGTGCTAAAGTGAATAAAATATAGAATTCGGGGTAACTGTTATTCATTTATTTTTATTGTGATAATAGACATCCACAGAAAGAAAACGGCTGAAAGGGAAAATATGTTCGTTTTCACTGGGATACAGTACACAACTTTACGTTTCGAACAGAGGAGGGCAGCATCAGTTATGGCTGTTTTAAATCTACTTGAAACCCGCGAAGAAGACTGTTCTCCTCACCATGGCGGAAACCGAGCAGCAGTCAGGTAACGCACCGCTGAATGCTTCTGCTCAGCGTGAGCAACTTCTCTATCGCTTGTGCTGCCTTGTGTTTTAAAGTGCTTAACAGGTGCACCACACTGCCACACGGGACATTTAACGAATTAATTTCACGTTTGTTAGGGAAGCCCAGAAGACACATCACCGCTGTCCTCAGGCAAAGCTATCCTTAGACATTTTGAGTAACTGAAGTTGGTAACGTTATTTGGGCTTAACGTTATGTCACGTTATACCAAGCTGAGTTCGTCCTCTGGTTTGTTTTGTTAGCAGCTGTTATCACACAACAACACTAAACAAAAAAAACTCTCGTTGCTTGCTTTAACGTTACTGTCCCGGAGGTGTTAGCTAGCACGTAACTTAGGCTGAATTTGCTTCATTCATTAAGAACATCATCAGGACAAACTCTGTAAAAGTCGGAGAGTTCAGTTATTCCGCGATTGCGCTGTACTGCTGCAAACCAACCTCACGCAGACACTGACATATTAGCAGGGCCGCGCAGAGACCACTGGAAGGACAGGTGCTCAAAGCATAAAAGGGGCACATGGAACAAGGATTTAAATAGGCCTGTTACTTTGATGTCAGGAATACTATTTATTTTACATTGGTACTGACATTTTTTATTTGTATTTCCAGTTAGAGTTTTTATTGTAGTATTGGTTTTGTAAACACTACTGTTGCTGTTAAAATGTAAATCTATTCCAATACTGTTCTGAATTTAATGATCATTTTAAAAAAGGGCAGATAAGTAGGCTATAAGTCGGAGGAGTAAGTATCAGTATAAGCCTGTCTTACCAATGTAGTTATAATTACTTTAAAGGCACAAGGCTTTTATTAAGTTACTCTAATAATCCTAGTTCAAGTGAAAGGTTTTTAGTCAGATTACATAAAAACGACCAGACCTCTCAACACCCGTGAATTTTTTCTCCCTGAAAGAGCAAGAACGAAGTGAACTGAGCACCTCTGTTTATCTGTGTGTAGAAGTAAAGTTAGCTGTCGGCACAGTGTTAGCCGGCAGCTAACGTCACTTCTACAGGCGGCACACAGAAATATACACAACAACTGTGCTGCTGTCTTTGCGTCTTCCTTGTAAAATACCTCCAACATCCCACAACAAGCACATTGTGGCAAACCCCACTTACGGCGGAATCAAAGGTGTCCTGCAGGCAGAGCTGCTGAATCACTAACGGTGTCTGAACGGGAGGGCTCGTCACAGATGAGGTCATCAGGTGAAAGGTCATCATGTGGGTCATTTTATTTACTGCGAAATTATTGTTCATTCATTTTACTAATAGTTCGATTGGGCAGGCCTTCACAAAATGGCCTTAACAAATTTAAAAATAAATAAATTTAAGTAATTTGCGTTGATAAAAGGGCACTTTGGGCATCAAAGGGCAAAAGAGCAGATGCTCAAGCACGCAGCGCACCCTCCTCTGCACGTGCATATTAGTATTCACGTTACCGTTGATCTGATTAAAGGGCTATCCTGGCAATTTAGTATTTAACTTCCAGACCTGGCTGAGTCACATGATACATGTAAACAGGGCCAAAATATCCAGAACTTTAGTCCCTAGTTTGGGTTAAGCCCCAAAAATACTTGATCCTACCTTTCCCGTAATGTAAATAACTAGCAACAGATAAGAAGCGATAGAGGTTCTACAGGGGTTCATACAGTTAACGTTAAGTTACCAATATCAGATTCAATACTGAATTCAGCTATTTGGAAAACCTAAAGTTAGGAATAATCTCTGAATTGGGTTATTTAAATAAAATGTCATTAATATTAAGAAAACTTTCTCAGGATCCACTCCTGAGGATGACGAATCTGAAGCCCCAGCCAGCAACACCTTCATGATACCCAAGAAAGAAATCAGCATGGTGCCTGACATGGGCAAGTGGAAGCGATCCCAAGTAAGCCGCTGTGTGAACATGTTCTACACATTTTTGTGGTTTTCTCTGACTTTCCATGTTGTTTTGCAAAGTACCAAGGACAGAGAACAGGGAAATAACACGTGGGCCTCACTCAGTGTGATACAGACACTGGGTCCAGCCCATGTTTTAATGCCCTCTGGTTTCCTACATATTAAGTGAATTTGGTGATTAATTAACCTCTTAATAACATAAATTATTATTTATTTATTATAAAGATGATTAGAAGTCAAAAGCTTTGTTCACACATGTAGTTTGGTTCCTGAAGTTATATGGAGGCTTTCTTGTATGGTTGCAGAATTCTGCCAGGTGCATGCATGGGTAGGGCTGGGCAATAAAATAATAATGATAATTATCGCAATATAATTTTCCTCAATATAATAAATGTTCAATATATTGTCAATAAATATTTGATTTAATTCATTTCAATCATGAAGAAATTAGCACTTAATTTTTCTACTACTACTACATCATATTTATTTATTATCATATTTGTTTTTTGTTTTTTTTATCATAAGAGTTTTGAACTTTCTCCCTCAGACTTGTTAAGTGATCCACTGTTTGGCATCAAGTGTTTCTCCCATTTTGACCATAAAGAAAAGTTGAACCACGTAATAAATAATGATTTGACATTCATCGTGATAATTATCGATATCATGATAATATTTTTGGCCATATCGCCCAGCCCGATGCATGGGGAGGGGAGAGTGAGTGAGTGAGTGAGTGTATCTGTCCGCATCTAATCTTGTATACTACTGGACACATCATCCTGATATTTTCTGTGCACATTTATGTATGTACATATTATACTATATGCTCAAGTACCTCTGGCGATTGCAGTGATTCACTATTTTTTATAGACTGAGCCTCTCCAGGATGGTGGAGTCATGACCCGCCCTACTCTGCTTCTGATTGGCTAGTACTTGTTGCCTTCATTGGTTGGGCTGGTTGGGTTTAAACAAGAGGATAACATTGATTAGGATAACAGTAAGAATATCACGGTAAGCCAGTCTGTGATGCAGAGAAGGTCTGGTCATGGCTTTCCATCATAGGAATAACTTATCACCTATCATGAAAGTTAGACTTTTGTCTTTTCAGCAGTATTCGGCATTTTACGATATGCGTTTTACGACATCACAAAAGACATTTACAGCAGTATGGTAGGCTAAAACAAAGGCTTACCTAGTCAGTTGCAGTCCACATTTTGGCCATCCATAGAAAAGTTTAGTCTCCTCTTTATCTTCATCGAGTGGGAGGTCGGGAGGTGTGGTATGTTACAGCAAAATGTTCTTTAAGTTTGGACTTATCGTCTCAGACGTTTATTGTTTCCGTTTTAAGTTTATACAGTTAATCGACCACAGGACACTAAGTTACAATATATCTTAATGAAAACTGAAAAATTATATTGGACACAAAAAAAAAAATATCACAGTCTAGACCGGCCCTATATGAAAAGTGCAATAAAATAACTTCTGTTATGAGTTGGAGCTATATAAAATAAAATAAAATTGAAACCCTTAAATTAAAAGTTTGCAAACATCTTTATAAGAAAACTTGCACTATACTATTCAAAATCACCTTCTTCCCTTCATTCACACAGCCTGCTCTGCACTCCCTGTTCCCCACCCGTTGTCTGCAGACGCACCTGGTGGTGAAGTCTTCTAGTTCAGATTGATTCCAAGCTAACTCTGAAGGAAAATGTTTGTTGATTTAAGTTATAGACTTCTGAAAGAGCACGTATAAAGAGTTTTGTCTGATGTAGTCCATCACCTAGGAGCATTTGTGATCAATATCAATTTTGTAACATTATTCCAATGCTTTTCATAATATTTGAGTTCTTGAAGCAGTTTATCTGACCACACACCCAGATACATTCCAGTTTTCCCCACATCTCTCCTTCTTACAGGCATATGCTGACTACATGGGCTTCATTCTCACACTGAATGAAAGTGTGAAGGGAAAGAAGCTCACATGTGAATATAAAGTGTCAGAGGTAAGTTGCTCTTCTTATCAGTGCCTTTAAAATGCATGCGCTTAATTTTTATACGTTCAGTTTATTTGGTTGTCACTTTAGTGAACATTTGCTTGTGTATGAAGCATGTTTGCTGACTGCACTACTCCTTCAGCGAGAGTTCAGTTAAGTGCGACACAGGTGTGAAAAATCATTCAATCATTGTTTTCCTGGAACTTTCAACTGCATCTCACAATCTTCTTCAGCGTAGGAGTTACTGTTCTCCTTCAATTAGCCTTCATGAGCCTGGAAAGAATCACCTTCTCATACCATTTATTAAAGGCCATAGGTCTGAGAACAGGAAAACATGTCCAGGGGAGCAACTCCGTTGATATTCTGCTATACTAAAACACAAAATAAGTGATCCCAGAGGTTTGACCAGCTGAGGCTCAGCAGAGAGAACCAGGCTGTGTCCGTCTCATTAGAACACCCACCTCTGAGCTATATATGCTAGTTTATTGGTTGTCCTTTTTTTCCTCTCTCTCCTATGCTCATTAAACCCATCATGTGATGATGATGAATATCAGTTACAGTCACTGTTGTCTTGTTGTGTGACAGACAGTGGAGAA